TAATGCTGTAAAAAATTTTGACATTTTAGCAATCAGTTTGAGTGCTTTATACATAGTTATTTTGATGGTGCAACAAAGATATTTTCAGACCTGTATCTAGCTAAATTTTTAGATACTTCAGCAAAATTTCCGTATAACTCGTGCATGTAACGTTTCGGGAAAATATTTGCAAGATCGATTCTCGTTACAATTTATATATTTTAATCGCATTTCACTATAGCTCAATATCCGATATACGTAGATATGTATATTTACTAAATTATCAGCGGACCAACGGCGCGATGGGCGATACATTTCACGCACTGCGCGTATATCAATTAACAATTATCCTATTAAATAATTCCAACGTCCGACTGTTAACGCTGATATCGCTAAAATTGCTCGTCGCTATTAGTCTATAAACGTTCACGCACACGCCGCGAACAAGCGAGCTCTTCCGCAAAACGCCCGTATTTCACCGGCACGCCCCCCTCATTAAAGTGGCGTGCTAAGGTGGTGTGCTAAGCGCAATAAAAAAAAACCGAGACCTAATTTCCCTGCGACAAGTCGCGCTAAACAGTCGCCTTTATTCCTTGAGCGGCAATTATTTCTCGGACGATTACGTTATCACGTCGCGCCGGCCGCTCGCGTATCAATGTCGAGAATCACGGACGATTAATTATACGAGGCTATCGCAGCAGTTGCCTAAATTAGCCTACAGATTAACCCTTTCGCACTTTGTGCCCGTTATGATGGACACTACTCCCTTCCTCATTCGCAATAAGCTAATATGTAGAATCATGCGAAGTAACTGAGATATCGTCAAGATACATTTTTTTTAATAGTAAAAGATTGACAAATTTTATATTGAGAAAAACTAAAGTTACTGAGAAATAAAATTACTGAAAAGTACTAAAAGGACAATTGTATTTATAAAATTATAGAGTATCTATAGTTGAAGAATGGTTACAAATTTCAAACGCATTTCAGATAGAAACTGATGAGAAATTCAGATTTTCCTCTGAAATAAAGACTCGAAGGTTCGATAGCCGTAAATTCACGCTTGTTGCGGTCCGTCCTAAACCAAACACCAGTCATGGTTGCCGTCGCCGGCGTGGCGTCATTAATTGAGGTAATACTAATTACCATCAGCTTCGTCCGTTCTGGCGCGATGATACCGTGATACGCAAGCACGGTGATAATTAATGAGCTAGAAACTTTGGTTGTCCCAGCCGCAACAATATACGCACCGATGCGGAGCATGGCGAGGCAAGAAGATGGCGTCACTCATTAGGCAAACTGTTTCGTAACAGGCACGGCTGATGAATCATTAGTCGAATCATTAGTTGACTTAGCAAGTACGTGACAGATTTTCGACAAGCCGGCAAGCCGCGCGAATGTCACATTGCGCTGATGAGCTAATATATGCGGAAGTAACAATGTTCTAACCAATTATAAGAAAGCACTGAAGTATGCTATACATTCCAATTGGCGAAACACTCGCAGACATAATATATGTAAATGATCATATCTGAAGCCTAAATTAATCGATTACCGTGATCATGCAAAAATCGCAAAATTGAAATTAGTAATAAGATTCAATTGTCCCACAGCTCAGTTGCATTAATATAATACGAAAAGTATTTCTGAGATTTTTATTTATACCTTTAAGCTTCTATATTTAATTTAAAAAAAAGTATAAAAGTGAATTTTCATTCTCAGAAGCACGTATAAAGTAACATAAAATAACATTTTACAATATATTTTGTTTTCTCGAAAGCTACTACTTGGATCGTTAATAACATTTTATAATCTGATAACACATGTTCTAAAAATTGATATAAAAACAAGGACGATATGTACAAGCAAAAATAGATCAAAGCGCTAAGAACGTTTTGTAACTTGTTACAAAATTACTTTTCAAAGCGATAGGAAGTCGGTCGCAATTTCTACAGTTCTTCACGCGAAACCATTGATCGGTTTTCACGAATGGTTTCAGCGGATCGAGCAGGCGGTACGTCATATCCTTGTAATACCCATCCTGTCGTTCTCTTTTCTCCCTCGCGGCAGGCTTTTGTGCTGACTGTCGCGCACGATACGTGTATTTATCTGTATGTAGTACAAAACTCGCATTTCGAGCTATAACTTCTGCAATCAGACGATGGTCGACGAAAGAGATACGAGAACCGCTAGAAAGACGAACGAAATTGGAGGTAAATCATATGTCAGAAATGTGACGCGGCATGGAAAGAGCACCTTCAGCGAAACGCGAAAACTCAAATATTGTATCGTTTCTCTTGACATGACTGTGTCTGACAAATATAGTTAAAATATTTTTAAAATACTTGTTTCTCTCTCTATTATACCTATATTTATCTAGTCTATTATTTTAATTTTGTTTTAAATTATTTTAATATTTTTATACATAAAATGGTAACGTAGATTTTTCGTATTTATTGATAGCTCTGCAGAGCTTTAAATTGCCTGATATCTAATTTACGATTCTCGGTGTGTCGCCGAAATGAGTAAATCCGCCACATTTCTTGCTTCCATTCGTCTCGTTATCTCTCCCCTTTGTTTCGAAGAAAGAAATTAAATTTTATCTATTGGGTATTGTGTGTGTCATTCGTTCGACAGCGAGACAGGAGTATAGTTACGAACACTTTGGCAGTAACAAAGAAAAAGTCACGGAAACTGATCGATTCCGACACGGTCCGGAACACACAAAGGAATGGATCGACGTCTCTGATTTCCAGTAGTGGAAACAGACTGTGACGCCAGACACTCATGATTCTGCCGATAACGATATCTGTAAGCAACGATTGTAAGGTGTAATAGTTGATGAATTTGTCAATACGTCGACAAATGGCTCGAAAGCGCGGAGAGGCGTGAATTTTTGAAAAATGTTACATATACGTCTCCATGCACAATGCGATTTACAGCAAAAGCGTATGCTTAAATAGAATTTACTGTAAAATATCCTATCCAATTGTATAATGTATTCTAAAAAATCAAGACCGTGGTTATTGAACTTGAAAGACCAATGGATAGCGTTACGTAGCTTCTTTGCCGCAAAAAATCCGTTCGATAATAACGAGTAGGGAGTAATTAGAAAATTCTCTCGAGCGCGATATCGTCGAAATAAGCGAAGCCAATAAATCCACGACTACTAATCCATAGGCAAACGCGGTCATTCAATTACACCCCGTACCCGGATCGTTCCCTGGAGATCTGGTCGCCAGAGATACGCCGGGCGGATTGACACTCACGTAAACGTCGAAAAGAGAAGAGAGAGGCGGAACAGTGGCGAGAGGAAGAAGGGGGCTACGTCGACTGAAACGAGAACTCAAAAGCGAGTCGTCGGTGTTGCTGGTAAAACCGGTGAGGCGTTACCGTCGTTCCCCGTCGTTATATACCAGAGACCGTGTGCCGTTATCGCGTTTTATCAGAACCTAAACCGTTGAAAACCACCCTTGCTCTCACTGCCGTTTTCGCGACAGCTCTTCTCTCTCTCTCTCTCTCTCTCTCTCTCTCTCTCTCTCTCTCTCTCTCTCTCTCTCTCTCTCTCTCCCCTCCTCTCTCTCTCTCTCTCTATACACGCTTTCCTCCGTCCGGTATGTTTGCTTAATTCGATTCCGCGCCGCCGCGCGGCGTAATAGAAATAATGGAATTCATCTAGCAGAACGATAGCTCGAGTTGTTGTTGCGATAAAAATACAAAGTAAAAACAGGAGGGATAGAAAGATAAGGGAACGGGAGGAAGAAGGAAATCATTATATCGCGTGATACGAGATAATTTCCGTATTCTGAAACATAATATATTGACACATTTTCAAGTTGATAATCGCGCGAGTCCGCAAGCGTACGTTCCATTTACAATCCTGAAATAATGAGTCGATAATGACGTAACTGTCAAATGTGAGATAGAAACAATCGTTGTACTCAATTTCATCCTTTATAATAGTTAACTACGTATGAAATGTTGCATTTTGAAAATATCCGAGTTTTTTGCAACGTTTTCAAGTTAATAAATTTTTTTTATGCTTCTATTGTCGTGTCTCTATAACTAGAGGCTCCATTTATTTGACACAAATCTTCTATTTGTTACTATCATTATTACAATCAGTTAATGGAAATGTGGTTATCTCTAAAATTGGTATAATAATCATAAAAAATGTTAGTACATGTTTAAAAATACTCTACCAAGAACCACAGTTTTTTGTAGTAATCGACAAAACAAACTATAAAAAGGTACACATATACATGAGTTTTTAAGGGAAGTTAAAAGTTTTTCTAGGAAAAAAATAGAAAATATTTGTTCTACACATCGATCGGTAAAATGTACGCTTCAAACAAATAAGAACGCTTTGTTTGTTGTTCATTTATTGGACTGTTGGCGATGGAAGTGAGTGATACCTGCACGAATTGTCACGTTACTCTTAACGAAAAATAAACGCATGGGAGGAGAGGTTCCACCTTTCTTCTTTACTATGTAATAATTAAATCAGTACGAAATTACCTTTTTCAAAAAAAGGTAAAAAAAGGCGCCAAGTACACGCGCAATGTA